ATTGTAACTTACGTAGCAACCGGAGTTGCAGTAACCACAAAGCCATAAGCCAGGAAGATCCCAAATGGGAACAACAGAGAGCCAAGTAAAGAACCTCTCGGTGGGCAGCCAGTTAGGGTCCCACGCCAGCCAGGTCTCCTGGAAAAACCTTTTGGGGAGTCTGAGTCCCTTGAAAAATCAAAACCAAAATCGAAATCAAAATCAAATCGTGTTTGCTCATGGTGTGCTTTGTTTTTCCAGGAGACATGCAGCCTTCATGATCATCCGCCTTCAGTAGGCCTGCACCTTGCTTCTGGATGCATTTCGGCCTTGTCTTCTGCAAGAAACTCGCTGGAGTACTCCTCCAACTCATCAGTCAAAAATTGGTTTCTGGAATGGTGAGTATCTCTTTCTCCACCAATAAGGTCTCAACGAGAGCTTGGGTTCCTGTGCGTAAGTAGGTTCCTGCTGCCAAGTCTAACTTATCCTTTGAAGTCGCCTTACTCGTCTGTTATCATTTACAGGACAGTAACACGCGCTGGCTGCTAATCAGGTTTTTGCGTTGCTTCTGCTGCGGTCGTCCGTGAGGTCCGATTCGGGGCCACTAGCGGGCTCCACCAGGTGGATTTGTTTGAGGCCAGCCCTCTGTTGAGATGTTTCACCGCGTTCTCCAGAGTGTGAATGCAGGCGAATGCGAGGGAGTTGGCGGCCTTTTTGTCCCTGAGGCCCTTCACGAATGCGTGGACTAATGCTTCCTGGACTTCAACTTCGTCCTGGATCGTCAAGTAAGATCGCCCTGCTTTCTCCACCGCACGGGAGTAGTCTCGAAGGGATTGTTCCGGCCCTTGTTTGATTTGCTCGAACTGGCGCTTCAGTTCCCAGCGAGACTCCGTGTGAGTGAATAATCTTTGCAGTGTAGCGTTAAGGTTCTCATATGTAACCTCTTTCCCCTGTGATGACAGGAGTTCGAGTGCTTCTGTCGCCTCTCCCTTGAGGCGCCTGAGAAGATGGGTTCCCTTCTCCTGTCTGGACCAGTTGTTGTCCTGCGCAATGAGGAGAAACTGAGTGCGATACAGCGAATACGTGGGACTCTTATCTGTTGCTGGATCACTTTGAAGTACGGCCCGTGCATATGCTGGCGGGGCGCCGCTCCACTCTAGGCCCGTGCCTCTCCTCGTGCTGAGTGTTTTGGCTCGTCTCATCACCCACTTATGTTGCAGTGTCGCTGTCATAAACGCTCTCGCGTTCGTCGTCGGGGTTATCGTCGTCGCCGTCGTTATCCTCATCCATACCGAGGAAACGTGCTGTGCGGCGTACTGAGTTTAGCCTGAATACTGAACATCCCACAGGCCGGGTGCGGCGTCTGCGGCCGGGGCCTCGGCGACGGCCACTTCCTCTGGGGTGCCCGGGGGTGCGGCGGGGGCGGGGGACCTCGTCTGCTTGTTGGGCCGCGTCGCTTCTGCCCAGCGAGTTCATTGTTGCGTTCGGCCGGCCTACCGCCTGTTAGGTTCTGTGTGGCTAGAAGCGCGGCTAATTTTCTTGGCTCTTGAAAGGAGCGCGCCTTCCAGTCGTTTCTGGAGGATCGTTTTCCAGGTGCGGAAAGGGGCGTCTGGGGCGGGTACGAAGTAGGTGAGCCCTGGGATGAGCCTGGGGTCGGTCTCGGGCAGAGCGGAGAGGACTACGGCGCACACCGGGTTATTTTTTTCGAAGAGGTTGCCCCTGTGGTCGAAGGTCCAGGTGCCCTTGTCGATTCTAATTTCGATGCTACAAGGGGGAGGGCAGGATGACGAGCAGCTGGAGACGCTGCTTGACCTGGAGCTGGTAGTGGACGCGGAGTCACTGGAGCGGGAGAAGCAGAGCGAGCCTCTGGTGCGGCCCAAGGGCGTCCAGGAACCGTCCAGGAGCAGGGGCAGGACGATGTCTGACACGTCGCTGTCGTCCTCGTCGTAGTCGGGGCAGACTTGTGCGAGGTGCAGCGAGGTGGCACCTTTCCTTTTTGGGTGTGGGGGCCGGGGCGCTGGGGATGGCGTTCTCGTTCTCCCAACTCTCCTCGATGAAGGGCACGTTGAGGGCTTCGACGGGCGGGTTGACGGTGGTGTCAAGCTGGACCTTGAAGCTCTCTGTTTTCCCCGGGGAGATGGAGGTCACGAACTCGTCCTCCCAGCTCTCCTCGATGACGGGGACGTCGACGGGCGGGTTGACGGTGGCGTCGAAGTGGACCCTGTAGTTCTCGGAGCTGATTGGGGTGTTGTCGTAGGTGGTGTAGCACTCGTTTTCCCAGTTCTCTTCGACGATGTCAGGGTAGTCGTCGCTCCAGCACTCCAGCGTGCAGGGAACCAGGATAGAGTCTACGGAAGGGGTCATCCAGCCATCGAAGTTTTGCGCCACGGGGGACATGCAGGATGGTTTGGTCATTTGGCGCAGAGCCGGCAGGTCGTTGACGCAATCGGTCAGGTTAGAGATAACGCAACGCTCACAGGTCAGGGACGAAGTGAGTGCAGGTTTAACGCAGGTTCGTGGGGTCGGAGACACAGACGGCCAGGTTGGGGAGGAAGACCCTTATGACGCAGTGTCAACGGGTCTATGACGCGGTTGGCACAGGTCGTAACATTTGAAAGCGCTCTGACGCGGTCTTAACTGGTGGTTAGACGC